ATCAAAACGCCTGCCATTTGAAATAAATAAATATTTCCTTCGAAGAATGTCAATTGTATATAACAGATATACAAGTCATTAGTTCTAAGATGAAAACTAGTTCTCCAGCAACTTTTAGGGTGGGAATTGTCATTATGCAGATCAACATAGACCCACCTTGCCTACTTTTAATTACCTCTCTATCTTCTTCATGGCAAATCCCTGTTTACAACAAGTTTCTCACAAGTGGGGAAAATTTCCCTCATATTTCACTATGACATTCAGTCCTTTCACATCGATAGAGAAACGAAGCCTATTTGATGCAAAGAGCATTGATTTTTTTGTTGAAAGGTAACTTAAGCATTCAGGTGTTTAGGGATCGCAAATTTACGGAAGTGGGTATTAGATTCACTCTTCCTCACCGAATCTAACCCCTTTCAAGAATGCAATTTGATCGTTATTATTAGCAATTAAAGTCACTTCGAGTAACGATATCTACCATGCTCCATTTCGTCTGTTTTGGCGAAAGTATTAATTACAGTAGTAAATCTTACTACATATATCAACGAGGGGTGAGTGATATTTACCTCCACCTGGGGCACCCTGGGCAGCGTATATTTATGCGGCAAAACATTCTTTAATAAGACAGTTGATTTCAAACTACCATGACCCCACTGTATGTCATATTCCACCACTTCCGCAGTAATCACCTCACCTTACCTTTTTCCCTACCTCTATGTCTGTCTCTTTTACATCTGTGAGTCACTATTCTGTTCCCCCTCTTGAAATTTTCTCATTTTGATGTTCATCCTCTCTGTGAACTCCAAAGTCGACTAAAGGGCTAATGATAACTATCATAAAGCCTGCCATTTAATATAAATATATCTATCAACATTTTCTTAGCTTAAAACTCGGAGCATTTTGAGTGAGAACATGACATTAATATAATAGAAGCATATAGTCTCTTTTCTTAAATCAGATTTTTCTAATAGTAGTTTCTGAAGCAGGGGTGAGCGATAGAATTACCTCTACGTGGTGCACCCTGGGCAACGTATACTCATACGGCAAAAAAAGTCTATTAACTGGCGATTGACTTCTGGCGCTGTACTCATCCTACCTTTTCTCTGCCTTCATGTCTGTCTCTTTACATCTGTAAGTCACTCTTCTGCTCCCCACCCCTCGACTTTCTGTTACTTTGATGTTCCTTCCCCTCTGTGAAGCCCGAAGTCAGCTAAAGGGCTAATGATAACTATCAAAACGCCTGCCATTTGAAATAAATAAGTTTCTAAAGCAAGCACTGCATTGACAGATACCAAAATATTGCAGGGCAAAAATTTGGGTGAATTCACGATGAATGGTAACAGTGGTCTGACAAAACAGATTCAACTTGTTTTCCATTTCATTTCGCTTTATCTCTTAGCTCAATAATCTAGGGCTGACTCAAGCTAATCATCGGTAGGAATACAACTCTGGAAATACTCTTCAGCACTCCTGTGGCATTACGATCAACTTGAAGTCTATCAAGGTCAACTGATTCCGTCCTGCGCAAGGAAAGACTAGCCGGTAAAGAGGTTAGAAAATGTTCAAGAGGCCTTAATTGTTTAGGAAATGTCTTATACTACTCACACATTGTAAGTAACCAAACCGTATTAAGTAGCACTGTTCTACGTTTTCACAATATCAAGTTCCGTTAAAAGTTAATTTATTTCAAATAGCAGGCCTTATGATAGTTATCATTAGCCCTTTAGTTGACTTCAGGCTTCACAGAGTAGATGGAAAATCAAAGCGAAAAAAGTCTAGGAGGGGGGGGGGGGAGAATAGAAGAGTGTTTAAAAGGTGTAAAAGAGACAAACACAAAGGTAGAAAAAAGGTGAGGTGATTACTGTGGAAGTAGTGGAATATGACATAGAGTGGGGTGATGGTAGTTTAAAGTCAATTACCAGTTAATAGACTTTTTGCCGTATGAGTATACGTTGCCCAGGGTGCACCACGTGGGGGTAAGTCTATATCACACCCCAGTTCCATTAAACATCAACTGTGGTCAATTTATCATTATTTTTTAAGTCTAAATATTCGCGAGGATTACGTTATATTTTTATTCAAATTCCTAGTATACGTGTAGTATAATTGGATCCAGAGCATTTTTATAATTTAAAAAGGCAAGTTTATATAAAGAAAATTGCTCTTACTTTCTTTAAATTATTAAACCCCATGTACCCTGTTATTGAAATTTTTTTAATTTTTGAATAGACGAAACATAGGGGACAGTAGCAAAAGATATATGAAAGTAAACTTGTATTTATTTAATTTGTTTTAATTCTAAAATAAAATTTAATTGTAGTTGGTGTGGCTCTTGGCATCATGGTTAATATGACAACTTCAAGATCAGATAATGGAAGTTCCTAGCTAATTCTTCATGTGTCCTGGACTGTTTGGATAATTTCTTCCAATTTCTTCTTCTATTAGATATGCCGCCACACTGTGGAGAGCCATTAACCAATGAATATGATTTCTTCACCCAACTGGGGGGTGATCAATTTTGAATGCATAGCGCCAGATAAGCTTAACTATCAACAGTACTACTTTCACAAAGTCGATATGATCTGTCTTCAATTTTAGTTACAAGTTGATCAGATGAAGCTTTTGCGCAATTGTCATGATTGTTCCACTCTTAGTGAGGTCAATTCCCCCCATTCATCGATTGAGTTAGTTTCTTACCAATCATGCACTATCACATGCGAGATGAAATAAGAATTTCATTGATGTTAATTGACAATTCAGTAGTACTCGACTAAAGCCAACTCAATTCAATGCTACAACTAATTCTTAATATATGGGAATAGGGGTGAAGAGACTGGAACCCATCTGTCTTCTCTCTCCCCACAGGGTCTATGCACTTGGGCTTTGGAAAGCTTACGATATAGCATTGGCTAACCACGATTATTTACTTTTTTATTTGTTATCAAATGGCAGGCATTTTGACAGTTAGCATTAGCCCTTAAGTTGACTTCGGGCCTCAAAGAGAGGAGGAACATCAAGGTCACAAAAAGTCGAGAGAGGGAACAGAAGAGTGATTCGCAGGTTAAAAGAGACAGACACTGAGGTAGAGAAGAAGGTGAGGTGAGTACTGTGAAAGTGGTGGAATATGACATACAGTGGGGTCATGGTAGTTTGAAGTCATAAGTCAACTCCCGGTTAACAGACTTTTTTGCCGTATGAGTATATATTGATCTGGGTGCACCGCGTGAAGGTAAGTCTATCGCACACCCCAGGTTACAAAAATATTTTCCAGCTCACTCTTTAAGTTAGATCAGCTTCCTTGCCATGTCATACCCCTATTAGATCATATTATCACTGCTAAAGTATGGCGATGGCGCTATTTAGATTCTGAGGTATATTGATCGAGTTAACAGGTACCGAAATGAACCTAAATTGTCTAGGTCGGTCTCATTTACGTCATATCTAGGCGGGATTTCTTGAATGAATGAATGAATTTTTGCTCTTTTCTCTTCGAAAAGGATGACAGCTCTGCTGGAACCCAGTCGAGCTTTAGAGTATCTTGATATTGGGGATTCACATACCAATCTGGAACCACATGTGCCCTCGATAATGATCATCAGCATCTCTCTGGTGTGGGCCTCACATCAACTTCAAGTAATGACAATCGAGTTAGTCACCTCTATGGTTTCATTGACAAAGCTGCAAAGAGCCTTCTACGCGAATTGACTATCACCCCTGATCGTCGAATAGACTACATCCGAAGGCACACAGATCGAACTTTTTGCCGTATGAGTATATATTGCTCTGGGTGCTCCACGTGGAGGTAAGTCTATTGCACACACCCCAATTTGCAATATAAAGTAGTCTAAAGGTGCTGAGATGAAGACTTTACAATTTCTTCAGAGCCTCATTAACGATTCCTTTGATTGTCGCGCCTATGATTAATTAAAATCCATCCCCATAAATTCTCAAATCTTTGCTTGTCGCGCGAGTGTGCAAGAATGAAAAGGGGTGAAGTGAAACAAGCACCCCAAAGGGAGTTTTATTAGGTGATGCTGGCATATTTATTGCCACCTTCATCTTCATTAATAACCAAAAGGCTTACCTTTTGATCTGATTAATGACTGGGTAATTTAATTTTGAAAGTGGCAATAAGCTCTGTCATTATGCAATTTTATCCACCCCTCGGAGGGGAAAAAAAGCCGTTTTTTTCACTGTGAAAAAGAAGCTATTGGAGGGAAGGTTGGTCCAAGATGATGAAGGTAAATTCAGAGTACCTTATTTGATTTCGGAGTTCGAATTTTATACTATTAACTTAATAAACACTTCTCGTGCTATAATTGAAACTTCATCAATGGCCACTTTCATAACTCCACGAATCCATGTTCATGATAAACTATGTCTGCCATTTGGTTATTTAATTATGAGGGCCGGTCTTGCTACTGACAACTTTTAATAAATACCGCCAAAAAATTCTCATACAATATTTAAAACAACAGGTTCCACAGTGGACTTCCATGCTGGTTAGGTAACTATGGCTGAGTGCTCACGCCAAATTTAAAAATCCCTTATCTATTCCATTCTCTCTTGAGGCGTAACTGATTAAAAATAACACATTTTTTGTTTTAAAATTGGCGATTGAAACTCAGTTGTCTCGCGAATTCATTAATTTGAAAATAAATTCCGCCTGGTCTGAGTAGAGACAAAAAAGTTCTCTTTAAGTGATCCCAACTTTGGGGCATAATGAAAAGATCGTTTTATTTTCATTTGTCTGTCAACTATCCCACTATTTATATTCCTTTGTTTTTATACTACTCAGAAAGTCAGTAGTAGACCAGGTAAAATCCAACACAATTTATCTGAAATTTCATGGCCATAGATGAATAGAGGGCAAATTAATTTAGCCACATATCGATGCTTGTTAGAAAAAAGGTTGTCAACAATGAAATTTTAAAGATTCAAGATAAGTTAATAGACAAGAAAGTTACATTATTGTCAACCAGCCCCATGTCCCAGAACTTGGAGGAAATTGATTCTCCGCTCAATAGTTGCCAGAATTCTCACCATTAACTGGATTTACCTATACTGGTAAGGCAATAAGCATCTTTCTCCACAGATTCTAATGCATAATATCCACATAGATTAAGATCCACGGTGTGTTAAGGGGTGGGGGGGGGGGGGGGGGGGGGGG